GGTCCAGCATAAACCAGCAAAGGTCCAGCATAAACCAGCAAAGGATCAGAATAAACCAGCAAAGGACCAGCATAAACCAGCAAAGGATCATCTTAAACCAGCAAAGGACCAGCATAAACCAGCATCCCAGCGTTAAAACATACTTAACCAGCATATGCTGTTTTTTTCAACAGGGTTGTATAACCAGTTTTACTACAAATACCACAGTGTAGCAAAGCCCTGGTTAATGTGTGGTTAACTATAGTTTATTGGCTTTATTTGTAGTAAAACCATTGTTCATTTTCGTAATGGTGCATTTGGTTTGACGTGAATAACAACAAACCCTTTTGGTTTTTGTGTATCTCATGATCGATTTCAGTGCTTTGGTACAGAAACCCCCAAAAATGCGAGTTTCTACACAGAATATCTTCATTAAGGCGAGCAATTCCTTCAAGAATAGCTGCCTTCCTTTTTTCCTTTTTTTGAGGAAGCTTAGCCATAGATTAAATAATCACATCAGTTGTGTTTAATCAACATGTGTTTAAAAAAAAACACTGTGGCTTTTTGTATTTAAAAATCGTGCACTTTGCTTTAAAACGTTTAGTTCTGATGTGATTATTAATTAGGGCTTCTCTCTCTGGGCTCACAGACGCGTAGCCTGAAGCTCCGCCCCCGAGCGTGCGTCGAGACGTACATTACGTGAGCACGTCAGTATTTCCGCGCGGCGCCATTTCGGAGCGGATCTGATCCAGGACTCAAACACGCACGGTCAGCAGAAGGCGACATTCACGGTAAATCGGCTTTTATTCGCGTTTATGATCCTGTAGTGGGCTAGATTCTGATGTTTGAGACGCTTGATTGCGAGCGTTAGGAGACGGAATTGCGTTTTCGCCTCATTTGTGTGTGTGTTTTTTTGCAGGCGCCATTTTACTGTTGACCCGGATTAGCGATTAGCCGCGAGGCTTTAATTACACGTATCAGTTTAACAATCATCCTAATTATATTCACAGCGGCTCCAGACTGCTTGTGTCGCTTAAAGAGCTCGTTTGTGTCGAGTCGCGTGTGATCGTCATGCGCCATTTTGAGCAGCGAACAAAAGACGCTCTCCGTTTATACGCATTTTACAGTTTATTGTCATATTTGTGACTTTTTAGATTAACGTTGAGTTGTTGAAACTAGGCTGTTTGGTGTTTTTTTTAGTAGATTAGATTAAACGGTTTTGTCACGTCCCTAGAGATACTCGGCCGTGTTATTGAAATGAGTTGGAATGTGAAGCGGTATGTGTTGTGTTTTGCAGGTTGAGCCATGCATCGCGACTGCCCTCTGGACTGTAAGGTGTACGTTGGGAATCTGGGAAATAATGGGAACAAATCCGAACTGGAGAGAGCATTTGGCTACTACGGACCCCTGCGGAGCGTCTGGGTGGCCAGGAACCCTCCCGGTTTTGCATTCGTTGAGTTTGAGGACCCTCGCGATGCCACAGACGCCGTCAGAGAGCTGGACGGACGGTGAGTGGATTATACCGCTAATCATCAGCCATTACCCAGCGACTTCTGCGCTAACCGATCCGTTGCCACGCAGGACCCTCTGCGGTTGCCGAGTGAGGGTGGAGCTGTCCAATGGCGAGAAGCGCTCTCGTAACCGGGGTCCGCCTCCGTCCTGGAGCCGACGCCCACGCGATGACAACCGCAGGCGCAGCAGCCCCGCCCCCAGGCGCAGGTAAACCTGTTTTCCCGCTCGGCTGTCTCTCCGTAGGTTGTGTTCCAGAGGAAACTAACCTGATTCCGCCCCTCCCGCCAGTCCTGGAGGCTCCGCCGGTGCCGGGTGTCCCGGTTCTGACGAGCGTCTGCCGGAGATCTTTCGCTCCTCCATCTTCATTGTCATTGATATCCATTAAACAATGATTTGACTGGGCTTCTCAAATTCTGATATTTTGTTGAAATGCAGACCAGTAAGTGATAATTAGGTAAATTCCACGAGAAAGTGTCCGGGTTACGTTTCACTCCAAAATTAAACGCTTTTGGCTTGATTTTTTTGCATTGTGACTTGGCACGTTTCACCAAAATCCTCATTGCTGTAACGATTATCCAACACAAGTTCATATTTAACGCTGTGGCGAATTAGCGGCTACTTCGTGTGTTTTCGTAAGATCTCATTCGTATATTGTGAATTGTTTGGGGGGGGCGGGGCTTCATGTTTTTTAAATTTTCTACAAATTCATCTGCAGCTCGTTAAATTTTCCCGTAAGATTGGGTTGAATTTTCTCGCGCAAATTCTGGTCTGTCAATTAATAAGCACATCGCATTGATCAAATTTAACGTAATATAAATTGTAAATGATAATTTATCTTTGTGTGATTAGTAATGAGAATTACAGCGTCGATGAATGAGAAAGCATTATGTAAAAATGTAATTAATTGTCGTTAGGTCTCGGTGCAGAAAACCTTTAGTGGCATTGTTTCTTTTGATTTTTGGGTTGAAATTTGACCCGGACGTTAATTTTAATATTGCTAATTTGTGAATTGGACGTCAAAGCCCAGTCGCTAGTGTTCAGTAATCTGCTCGGCTCTAGTAATGGTTGGAATGCAATCTTTTATTGACTTAACTTTACATGAAGGTTGTTTATTTTATTTTATTATCATCTATATTAATAAAAATGAACCCCGTTGCAGAGTCACCACCATGCCTCTCCTCACCACCCTCTGAGTCAGTCTACTAGTCTTCTTTCAGCATCATGTGACCAGCGTGCCCCAATCAGCTGGCTGGGTTGGTGTCACATGACCCAGGCGTTGCCAGTCATCAGCTCGCACCAGCCCATTGGTTCCTGAGCATGCCGTTGTCAGCTCCTCCTCCTCCAACCTTAACACCCAATCGGCAGCGGCCCACTTCACATTCCTGACCAATCAGCGTTTTACGTTCCCCAATGTCTACACTACCAACCACCAGCAACAGCCTTCGGCTAACCAATAAAAGCAGGAAAAATCCACTACATCCAGCCCCCATCCGCAAGCCAGCTAATCAGCTCGCAGCATCTGGCCTGCACTTTCCCGCCAATTCTGCTCCCCGGCCGCCAGCCGTCCTCCCCTTCGCCTTTTCTAGCTTGTTGAAAACCGAAAAGACTAGTAAGTTTTTCCTGCTTCATACAGTTTAATGCTGAATACAGATGTAAGATGAGGAGAAATCTCCTGTTGAGTTGAAACAAACAGGGTTGGTATGAGATCTGGACAGACGTTGTTAAGCTTAGGCAAGCAGACTGATGGGGAGCCCAAGCGGAGGTTCAGGTTACAGAAGCAGCGTGGGCTTTGAGAGCTGCTCTTGCTTTCTTTCACTGTCTTCATTCTGTGGGGTTGTTTGCAGTGCGTTTCTGTTGAGTTTCTCCTGCTAGGGCACTACTTTTGTAGCTCTCTGTACTGGAGCGTAACGCTCTTATTAAAGGAGGTTCTCCGAAGCCTCATGTGTTGCGAGGTCTCCACTCCACCCCTGTATCAGGGCGGTGACGAGTGCGTTTGACTGTTAGTTGCAGGGCTTGTGAGGTGCGTCCGTGTGTCGATTGCGCGCTCACTCGCTTTGCCTCTTCTCTTCTTCAGATCGCCCAGGAGGAGGAGCATCAGTCGTAGTCGCAGCAGGTAAGAGTCTGTCGGTTCTCGCAGCTTTCCCGCGTGGCTTTGTGAGCGCTTTCTAAACATCATGTTGTTCTGGACTCTGTCTAGATCTCTTTCCAGAGAGCGGCGGAGGGAGAGATCGCTGTCTCACGACAGGAACCACAGGCTCTCACGATCTTTCTCCCGATCAAGGAGGTAAGAGTCTGCAAACATTCGGCAAAATGTGTTATGGCATTGATATAGAGGAGTAGTTAAATTTTATTTTACCTCTGTACGATGGAAAGACTAATAAATAGTTTATATCTGTATTTTTGCGCTCCACAAGTACCACTTACTGTCAGTCGATTTGTATTGTAATTCAACCAGTCTACGATTTTTATTCAGAACAATTATAATCGTTAATTAGTCTGAAATTTATGGAAGCCTGTTTCTTTTTTTCCATCTCAGAATTGCGAGATATAAACTTGAAATTGCGAGGAAGTCTTGATTTAAACTTGCATGAAATGTATATTTAGTATAGATATAAACGGGCAATTCTGACGTTTTTCTCACAATTGTGAGTTTGTCATGCACTTGAGGAAAAAAATGTCAGAATTGCAAGAAAGTCGCATTTATTTTATTTTTTTATGCCGTGGCAGAAACGAGCTTCCATAGAAATTAGAGGTTTATCATTGTATCAAACGTTTTGTCAAAACTGTTTAAATTGTAGTTTTACTGTACTTTTACACTTAAGGACGTTACCATAGACATTGGTGGTGTTTTCAAGCTACTTTAACTGCTGATTCAAAGAAAAATCTGGAAGAAATATTCCTGTGAGAAACATGCTTGATCTTCTCGTTTACAGTCGTTCCAGATCTACTGAACGGAAATGAACTGAGAAGACCGTCGTGACGGAAACCTCGGCACAGATCAAACATGTTGAAAAGATCGAGTCCCCCCCCCCCCCCCCCCCATTTTTTTTTTTTTTTTTTTTTTTTTTTT